GGGCCCTTCATGGTTTCTTGCCCTGAAGGTTCTAGTTACGCCTCTGTACAGACCTCCAAACTTCGTGTGGCCTTCAGATTGGCACAACAACAGTGCATAGAGAGCTTCATGGAATGGGTTTCCATGGCTGAGCAGCTGCATCCAAGCCTTGCATCACCCAGTGCAATGCAAAGCGTCAGATGCAGTGGTGTAAAGCGCTTCGCCACTGGACTCTAGAGAAGTGGTGATGTGTTCTCTGGAGTGACGAATCACGCTTCTCTGTCTGGCAATCTGATGGACATGTCTGGGTTTGGCAATTGCCAGGAGAACGGGACTCGCATGACTGCATCGTGCCGAGTGTAAAGTGTGGTGGAGGGGGGATTATGGTGTGGGGTTGGGCTTGGCCCCTTAGTTCCAGTGAAGGGAACTCTTAAGGCATCAGCATACCAAGACATTTTGGACAATCTCATGTTCCTAACTTTGTGGGAACAGTTTGGGGATGGCCCCTTCCTGTCCCAACATGACTGCGCACCAGTGCACAAAGCAAGGTCCATAAAGACATGGATGAGCAAGTTTGGGGTGGAGGAACTTGACTTGTCTGCACAGAGCCCTGACCTCAACTCGATAGAACACCTTTGGTATGAATTAGAGCGGAGACTGCAAGCCAGGCCTTCTCGTCCAACATCAGTACCTGACCTTACAAATGGTCAAACATTCCCATAGACCAGGGGTGCCCATAAGGTCGATTGCGATCTACCAGTCGATCGCATAGCGATCACTGGTAGATCGCGATTTCCTCTCCTCCCGCCGGTGGGGCTTCTCTGGATCCCCGCTGCTCTCCCCATCTGTATGCAGCGGGGATCCGAGAAGAAGTGAAGGAACCGGCCGCGGGGGAGGGCGGAGGACAGAGCCGCTGTCACAAAACTAATGGCGAGCAGAGAGGAGAGAGAGAGAGAGACGCTTGGTCTGGATCTGACAGCCGGCGCCTCTCTCTCCCCTCACCGCTGTGTCTTAGTTCTGTGACAGTTGCTCCACCCCCTCCCCCCGCTGTGTGCTTCGTGTCGAATCCCCCACTGCCTCTGCCCGGGAGAGCAGGGGGGGATCCATGGGAGAAGCTGAGCCGTCGAGCGGCAGAGGATCGGTACATATCAGTGATATGTACCGGTCCTCTGTGCAGGACAAACACTAGAGCGATCAGCTGATCGCTCCAGTGTTTGTAAATAACTGGGGACACATAGTACTATGTGTCCCCAGTTATAAATGAACAGGATGTAATTTACATCACTTCCTGTTCATTTATGACAAACAAAACCACTTTTCATTTATGACAAACAAAACCACTTTGTTTGTCTTGAATTGTGATACACAGGGTCCCTCCCCCTGTATTGAGGAGCTTTGCACACCATCCCCAAGCAGATCTATTTCTTACCTGTGTTCGTCCTACAGGAGTGCGCTCTAACCATTGTGTGTTTTTCCTGTTCATTTATGAGTTTTTCAATGGGGAGAAGCACTCACTACAGAGGCTCCTCCCCATTCAGAAACTGCTTGATAGTAAAATATTTTCTTAATGAATGGGAAGCCTCTGTGCTTTCCATTCATTTAGAAGAGAGGCTGCAGAAAAAGGGATTGAGGACTTTGTGTCCTCAATTTATTTTTCTATTTTAAAAGGGAAATATTAAAATTAGGGCTGTTTAGAGCCCTAATATTTCCCCGAAGCCCCCCAACAGTAAAAAAAATTAAATAAGAAATAATAAAAATAAAATAAAAAATAGTAAAACATGTAAAAAAAATCCTGGAGGCAGGGTGCTGGGTGACATCACACGCCTGTTGGGGGGGCGTTTTTTCTTGCCGCGGGCGCAAAAGGAGCTGGCTACGGCTATGCTCCCACGGTGCTCGTGCGACTGCCGCCTGAATGTGTTAGACGCCACAGATGGAAAGGGGCAGAACACCTCTCCCCATGTGCAACGTCGGCCACACGAGCACCACGGGAGGATAAGACGCTGGGGCCTCTAGGACGCACTGGAATGTAAGCCGGCCGACTCCCTGCGTTCAGGGTCGGGAGGGGGTGTGGGGGTTGTATTGAAGTCAATGGCACCACAGGCATTGCCCCCACCCACAGTGCGATCGCCCACACCCTAATGTGCCTGCATTCTGGTCCAGTGCAATCTGCAAAGATAGTGCTCGCAGCATTTTTGCGGATCACACTGAACTGGAACGCAGCACTAATGTGCCTGCGTTCCGGGTGCAGGCGATCGCACTGTGGGCGAGGGGCCTGCCTGCGGTGCAATTGACTTCAATTGACTTCAATGCACCGCCATGCCCCCTCCCGCCCCTGAATGCAGGTGTTTTTTCGTTGGTAGATCTCATTGAGCTTGTCATTTGAAAAGTAGATCTCCAGACGAAAAATTGAGGGCGCCCCTGCCATAGACACACTCCTAAAGCTTGTGGACGCCTTCCCAGAAGAGTTGAAGCTGTTATAGCTGCAAAGGGTGGGCCGACTTAATATTGAGGCCGGCCTTCTCGTCCAACATCAGTACCTGACCTCACAAATGCGCTTCTGGAAGAATGCACTTCTGGAAGTGTGCATATGTGTGTACATACTCTGCAACTATTGCCCCTGACCTTTGCACACTGCCTTATTTACTCCTGACCTCTAAACTCTGCACTATTTACTTCTGCATGCTGCATTATTTGCTCCTGACATCTGCATTCTGCTTTATTTGCTCCTGATCTCTGCACTGCGTGTTACTCCTTACCTATAAAGTCTGCCTTAGTTATTCCTGACCTCTGCACTCTGCCTTATTTGTCATTGACCTCTGATACTCCTGACCTCTGCACTGCGTGTTACTCCAGGCCTCTGCACTCTACCTTCTTTACTCCTCACCTTTGAATTCTGCCTTATTTACTGCTGAACTCTGCGTTACATACTCCTGACCTCTAAACTCTGCCTTACTTACTCCTTACGCTGAATTCTACATTTCTCCTGACTTCTTAACTCTGTAATACATACTCCTGACCTCTGCACTCTGCATTATTTACACCTGACCTCTGTACTGTTACTCCTGCACTATATAAATATATATTACATACTTTTGATCCCTGCACTCTATACAGAGGCGTATGTTTTGAATTTTCCCCCTGCAATTTTGTGCCACACACAATTTGCCACATACCCCACTACCTTCCTCTCCTCTAAGTGACTAGGGGTTGCCTACCAGGTAGGCTGTGTGGGGCCCCATGATTTCTAATAGTGGCCTTGTTCATACAGCTGGTACTATTATTGTTCCACAATGCAATGCATTCTAGAGTGTTTTAGCGGTGGAATAGTGTGAACGTAGCCTTAATTCTAAAAGGTAAAAACAAACCTCAAAGGCTGAATCCAGTTTTGAGAATTTAGCATGACAAGAGAAAAGGATTTAAAAGGAAGAGCAGCAAAGAGAAGGGGAACTACAGTGGATTACAGTAAGGCACACATTACTGTACTGTTTTATGTTAACATTTCTGAGGGTTTAATGTCACTTTAAGTCTTGTTAAAAGAGTAGTACGGTACCCCAGGGCAGTGCCCAGCTCCCCATACCTTTTGTTTCACATAACCTTTGCTTATTCACCTAGAAAATGAAGAAATAATTTTAAAAATCTGCCAAACACACCTGTGAATCGGACCCAAGTAAATTCACCCATCACTAGTTACTACCCTCTTCTTTTGCCCTAATAATCCCTTCACACCCACAATCTACAGTATATATAATTGTTCCCCACCACGATGCCCCATGCCGCAGATAAGTTTATGCATACCCCCCCTTAAAGAGTCAACAGCCAACACTTTGGAGCACTCAATTGGTCTGTCACTACGGATCATGTCTTCACTGATGATTGGGAACCAGTCAAGGTGGTTCACGATCATGTAATCAGCTATTACATTAATTTAAAAAACAAAACCTTCATCCTGAGGATGAATACTGCCGCCCTCAGGCTGCAGTGTCATATGTGTGTGTAAAATCGTTTATTACAATAAATAAAACAAGGGATAAAAATACTCACAAACAAACGTTTTCATCAGGCTTTAACAACAAACGAGAGGCCACACTGTCTGTTAACCCAACATGATATCCCCCCCACTATGTAACACGGTAGTCTCTGGTCACATCACCGTCCACCGACCGCAGTCAGCCAAGATTGACGCGTTTCAGGGGCAAGCCCCCTTCCTCAGAATCATAGCTTGCTTTCCCTGAGAGTGGGGTATAAGACTGGAAACCGACCAATCAGAGAAAAATTCTCCATTATGACTAGTCTTGGAGTGATTGGCTCTTCTGCAGCATTACAAGGGATTTGCTATTATACGGCCGTACATGCCGCCCAATGATCACACAGCCTCTGGCTAATTAATGATTCAGCCAGACATTCAATTCTTGTGGAGATTTCAAATGCATGGGGTGATCTTATATTATGAGCTAAGCAGTACTTCAAACTCAGCAATGCTTATTACTCGGCAATCTGTATCCAATCTACCCACATCTCTCAAGAAAAATGGAATAAGAAGTGAACAATATAGTTCATAAAACATGTTACATTGGTGATTGCACCGTCATAGATGAATTTGAAAATAAAAAATTGAAGATAAAAATAATTTAAATATAAATTATAAATTGTAACAAAAACATTTTTAAGACCAATAAAATGTCCCTACATAAGGTGGCGCTCTGTTCCCTTTTGTTTTCTATGTTCGTGGTGGAAGCCCCAGAGCCTTGGATGAGCAGCCCCTCAAGTCTGTGTAAAAAAACTGTGATAAACTGTTGAAAACTTTGAGTGTGCAACAGCAAGTGGATTGTTCAGCTGGCAGCCATTAGCGCCAAGAGCTAAAGAAAACTTTTTTTGTCGGCAGTGTCATGTGTTTAATGCTCAATTTATTAGATTAAATTTTTTAACATGCTTATGCATTTGTCAGTCTGTAAAAGCTCCCTGAATTAGCATAACTATCTGCATGGATCAAATTATTTTTTTAATTGTAATATCTTTCACAGCCAATTTTGGTGATCTTAACAGTATTCCTACCACTGGTGCCTCACCTGAAACTGGCCGTCAAGATGGGCAAAAAATTTCTGGTGAGTACCAACATTTTGTAATTTGTTAATGCGTGGTAAAAGCATAATTTTAGGTCTTCTATTTTATTTTATTTTTTATTTAAACTTTTTAGATACAGCACCTATCACATTAGTTGCTTGTTATGGTGTGTATCCCACCTCCTCCAGGCTGCTGCTTCCTGCCTAAATCCTCCCTACATGCTATCAGGTATACCCCAGATAGACTATCTTCGGGTACTTTGAGGGTTAACTAGAGACTATCATTGTACTAGGGTTGGGCTGCTCACTCGCTCCTTCCTATCTCCTTCTCTATTTATACACAGGGCCGCCATCGGGGTGGTACAGCCGATACACATGTAAGGGGACTGGGCATCCCAGGCTGCCCGGGCCCCAGTCTATGAGCTTTTGCAGTTTGGTAGCAGAGAAGACAAGCACTGACTACCTATTGTACAAATCTCCCTGATGTTTGCAGGGAATTTTTGCTGGACTAGCTGCCTATTATACAATGTGCAATCATTGCTCACGCATGTCAGTTCAGCCCCGTCACGTCACTGATTTCATACTATCAATGTTCTTCTGCATGTTGTGGCTGCTCATGAGATCTTAAAGAACAGCACCTTGGATTGGGTAAACAAATTCACTATATTGCCAAAAGTATTGGGACACCTCTCCAAATTATTGGATTCAGGTATTCCAATCACCTCCATGGCCACAGGTGTATAAAATCAATCACTTAGGCATGCAGACTGCTTCTATAAATATTTGTGAAAGAATGGGTCGCTCTCAGGAGCTCAGTGAATTCAAACGTGGTACCGTGATAGGTTGCCACCTGTGCAATAAGTCCATCTGTGAAATTTCCTTGCTACTAAATATTCCACGGTCACCTGTTAGTGGTATTATAACAAAGTGGAAGCAACTGGGTACAGCAGCAACTCAGCTACGAAGTGGTAGGTCATGTAAAATTACAGAGTGGGGTCAGCGCATGTTGAAGCACACAGTGCGCAGAAGTCACCAACTGTCTGCAGAGTCAATAGCTACAGACCCACTGGCGGAACTACCAGGGTCGCAGTGGTCGCAATTGCGACTGGGCCCTGGCGTTTCGCCTGTTGGGGGGCCTAGCGAGGAAGGTGAGGGCCCCCCCGGGATCGTGCCACTCCTTCCCCGCTGCTCTGCCACCCCTAGTCGAATTTGCCGTACTTCAGCATCTAAGCTTGCGCACAGACCAGTATTATTGAGGGAACCCGCATTTATTTACAAAGCATTTAGTTTAATTGTTAATTGTGACCATTAATAATATTTCATCCCTCATTTACTGCCATGGACGGCATATTAACGGTCACAATTAACCATTACAAACGAATACTTTGTAAATAAATGCCGGTTTCCTCGTTAATCCCGTCTATGCGCAAATGCAGATACTGTTCTCGACAGAACACCGACACTAAATTTTTAAACTGTAGCGGCTGCCTGAGGCCCTGCGCTTGCTGGGGACCTTGGCAGTCGTCCTGTTAACCACACAGTGCCATGGCGGCAGGGAGTTGGGGGGGGTCCTTCGTGGTTTCTTGCCCTGAAGGTTCTAGTTACGCCTCTGTACAGACCTCCAAACTTCGTGTGGCCTTCAGATTGGCACAACAACAGTGCGTAGAGAGCTTCATGGAATGGGTTTAAATGGCCGAGCAGCTGCATCCAAGCCTTGCATCACCCAGTGCAATGCAAAGCATCAGATGCAGTGGTGTAAAGCGCGCCGCCACTGGACTCTAGAGAAGTGGTGATGTGTTCTCTGGAGTGACGAATCACGCTTCTCTGTCTGGCAATCCGATGGACATGTCTGGGTTTGGCGGTTGCAGTAAAGTTTGGTGGAGGGGAGATTATGGTGTGGGGTTGTTTTTCAGGGGTTGGGCTTGGCCCCTTAGTTCCAGTGAAGGGAACTCTTAAGGCATCAGCATAGCAAGACATTTTGGACAATCTCATGTTGCTAACTTTGTGGGAACAGTTTGGGGATGGCTTAATTAGAGCGGAGACTGCGAGCCAGGCCTTCTCGTCCAACCTGACCTTACAAATGGTCAAACATTCCCACAGACCAGGGGTGCCCATAAGGTCGATCGCGAGCTACCAGTGATCGCGATGTCCTCTCCTCCCACCGGTGGGGCTTCTCTGGATCCCCGCTGCTCCCCATCTGTATGCATTTCCCCCGCTGCCTCTGCCCGGGAGAGCAGGGGGGGATCCATGGGAGAAGCTGAGCCATCGTGTGCGTGGTCGAGCGGCAGAGGATCGGTACATATCAGTGATATGTATCGGTTCTCTGTGCAGGACAAACACTGGAGCGATCAGCTGATCACTCCAGTGTTTGTAAATAACTGGGGACACATAGTACTAGTAATGAACAGGATGTGATTTATATAACTTCCTGTTCATTTATGAGTTTTGGTTGACCTCAACCCGATAGAACACCTTTGGTATGAATTAGAGCGGAGACTGCGGGCCAGGCCTTCTCATCCAACATCAGTACCTGACCTCATAAGTGGTCAAACATTCCCATAGACACACTCCTAAACCTTGTGGACAGCCTTCCCAGAAGAGTTGAAGCTGTTATAGTGGCAAAGGGTGGGCCAACTCAATATTGAACCCTACGGATTAAGACTGGGGTGCCATTAAAGTTCATGAACGTGTAAAGGCAGGCGCCCCAATACTTTTGGCAATATAGTGTACATGTGACTTCGGTTGTTTAGAGACAGTGAGGCCTGCAAGAAGCGGAGAAGATGGGAGAGATTTAATCAGTTCTGCAGTATGACCAAGGTCCCACCCTACTAGCAGCACCTGTTTAAGCATTGATCAGATGATCTGGTGGGCCCAGGTGACATATGTTGCAGAGCAGGAATCTGTGGCCTGTAAATGGGGGTGGGAGAGCAGCAGGGAAGGGGGGCGGGTGCAGCAGGCTGTATAAGGATACTAGCTGTCAGTTTTCTGATGTCTACAGTGCATATGTGTGTACATACTCTGCAACTATTGCCCCTGACCTTTGCACACTGCCTTATTTACTCCTGACCTCTAAACTCTGCATTATTTACTTCTGCATGCTGCATTATTTGCTCCTGACCTCTGCATTCTGCTTTATTTGCTCCTGACCTCTGCACTGTGTGTTACTCCTTACCTATAAACTCTGCCTTAGTTATCCCTGACCTCTGCACTCTGCCTTATTTGTTATTGACCTCTGATACTCCTGACCTCTGCACTGTGTGTTACTCCTGGCCTCTGCACTCTACCTTCTTTACTCCTGACCTCTGCCTTGCTAGTTACTCCTGATCTCTGAACTCTGGCTTATTTACACCTGACCTCTGCACTCTGCCTTATTTACTTCTACTTGGAGGAGGAGTTCGCGGCCATCTTATTTCATTGAAGACACAATGGAGGTCCTGTGTGCAGCGGTTTCGGGTCCCTGAAGATGGCGGACGAGGCACAGGTACTCGGTTTTTTGTATCGGAGTTTTTGCACGAGTACGAGTATCGCCGCCGATACTGATGCTTGTATCGGTATGGGTGCATTCCTACTTCTGACCTTTGAATACTGCCTTATTTATTGCTGAACTCTGCGTTACATACTCCTGACCTCTAAACTCTGCCTTACTTACTCCTTACGATGAATTCTACATTTCTCCTGACTTCTTAACTCTGCAATACATACTCCTGACCTCTGGACTCTGCATTATGTATTCCTGACCTCTGCACTCTGCATTATTTACACCTGACCTCTGTACTGTGTTACTCCTGCACTATATAAATATATATTACACACTTCTGATCCCTGCACTCTATACAGAGGCTTACATTTTAAATTTTCCCCTTGCAATTTTGTGCCACACACAATTTGCCACATACCCCACTACCTTCCTCTCCTCTAAGTGACTAGGGGTTGCCTACCAGGTAGGCTGTGTGGGGCCCCATGATTTCTAATAGTGGCCTTGTTTATACAGCTTGTACTATTATTGTTCCACAATGCAATGCGTTTTAGAGTGTTTTAGCGGTGGAATAGTGTGAACGTAGCTGTAATGCTGTTTTTCTGCAGCCCCTGTTATCAATGAACAGGAAGACTCTATACTGAGTGTTCCTGTCCATCCATAACCTGTGGATATAGTATGAGTTACTATGTCCACAATCATGAATGAACAGGAAATGTTGTAGAGCACTTCCTGTTCATTCTTAATAGGGGACACAGTAAACATACTATGTCCTCAATTATTTACAAGCACTTTGGCAGTCGCAGGAGGCTGAGTGGGTAGTTTGGGGAGGAGAGCTCAGTCTCCTGTGACATGGCTGACAGCTGTCTCCTCCCCCACACAGCTCTCCAGCCTGATTTGTTGTCCTAGGAGGCCAAGTGGGTTTCTCTCATGTTCCTCTCCTACCAACTGGACGCTGCTCAGTGTCAGAGGGGACACAAAGCAGCGCCCAGCAAGGAGGAGAGAAACTATGGATGCACCGCAACTTCGGTAAACTGGAAAGGCTCCAACACTTAATAAAGGCATATAACATTTTAGGTGAAGGGACACTCCTCCCTGTAGACTTTTTGAGCCCGCATTACCTTTACTGCCAAGGATGGGAAAGACCCTCTCCAACGTCCCAACTAAAAACCTATCTCGCTGGTAAACACCAACCTGAAATTATTCACCAAAATCCTTGCAACATACCCTATGACACGCGCCCAAGCTTTGTGCTTACCAGGGAAGCACGCAACAACAGCATCATCAGGCTACTAGATGTGATCTATGCCACCCTTTCTGAATCCAAAATGGCTTTTGACAAGGTAGACCAAACACTTATGGAACAGACACTGAAACACCTGGTTGAAATAATGATGATGTCATGGATAAAAGCTATCTACTCCAACCTCATAACTCAGGTTAAAATGAACAGTAATCTTTCCACACCACTTACACTTTTACTCTTACTCTAGAGTCCCTTTTTACACAAAATTAGAGCAAATTCATATCATGCCCCATGCTTGTTGCTGTGCTCCTGGTATAAGGTCTCAATTTTAATAAATCATCTACAAAATATTACCTTTTGTATCACTTGCCCCTCCTACTAGATTGTAAGCTCTCACGAGCAGGGCCCTACCAACCCTATTGTTCTGAAACTGTATTGTAATGTAAATTGTATTGTAACTGTACTGTCTCCACTATTTTGTAAAGCGCTGAGCAAATTGTTGGCGCTATATAAATCCTGTATAATAATAATAATAATACAAAACAAATTGCCTCACTGGATCAATCATGTGTAGTTTTAAAATCTCTCATGCTTATTTAACAAGAAGAAAAAAATAAACTTCCTGCTAATGTGTTTAAGCTAGTCTGAGTCTTAATAGTAGGAGAACCATGACGAAAGCCCAGACCATCTAAACTGCAGCAGTAGAAATGTATTTACTCTTTCATATATTATATATGGTGCAGCGGACATTGGCACAGAGGAACACCAGATGCGCTGTCTTGCAATTTTGCTCACTGTAGCATTACTCAATCAGAATTCAGCATTAATATCCTTTGTATGAATACATTCACAAGCAGACACAGACACTTTTAGAAACCTTGTTCTTCCATATTTGTGACCCTGTATTAAATATAGAGTTTTTTAGATTAGGTACTAGATGGTGCTGTAGTTGCAATTTCTCTGTTGAGATAACGTCTCAGCCACATAAGGAGTGTATTGTTTTCCAGCACTCAGATGACTCATCGGCTTGCATTGTGAAAAGGGGCAGTAAAGCAGAACCATTGTGTAGCACTGCAAAGCATGAGGCACAGCCTGCCCTTGTAATGAGTAAATATGGCTGCCCAATGTAAGAACTATACACAGAAAAGAATTTTAAAACATTAACACATACTGATCAGATTGCTCAGCTCAAACTGATCTCTTTTACATCCAAGTCTAAAAAACACTATACATTCTCAATAACAAATGTTTTGTTCATTTATCTATGGGTGTCTGTATACATTTTCAAAGCTGCACCTCAAAATTGTGGTCAAAATCTTAACATTTTCTGCGGTATAAAAACAATCCACTAAGCTCTTTTAATGACAATGTTTTACCTTCCTTTATAAAGGTATACCTGCATCTGAAGCATTGGCAGCAACAGATCTGCAAAGGGTGATGAAGTACAAGGAGAAGATTCAATCTGTGGCTGGGAAAACTGGTGTGGACTCAGCTATCATTGGAGGGATCATGTCTCGTGAATAACGTGCTGGGAATGTTTTAGATGCCAATCAATGGGGAGATCATGGCAATGCTTTTGGGTTGATGCAGGTAATTAAAGATCTCCACAAATAGAGTAAAATGAATAAGTGGCCCACCGGAATTTCCGAAAAAATAACATTTATTGTAATAAAGCAAATTTCTCATGCTATTGGGGGTCACAGGAAGTGTGAAACATTTGGGTTTACTGACACATACAGAGGATTGGCTGCTGCAAACAAAAAAATGATAGGCCGGCCAAAAATAACCCCTCCATGTTTCAGTTTTTTGCTAGTCTCCTAGGAAGATGGACATCTTTTCTTTAGCTCTGCTGTAAAACAACTAACCAGTTTTTTTGCTAACATTTTCCTTCACTTTTTCTTTTTATTCATTCAAGACTCTCAACATCACTGTTAGAGCTGGTCTCTACTTTGCATCTTTCTGGCGTGGTCTATCCTCGGCTTGGACTTTGGAGTGCTGAGACCTAACCCTTCTGAACTAAACAAGTGGGGCAAGCATGGAAGTGACGTTTAGGCACTGCGTTCCACATAAGCTGCTTTCCAGATACTATCCTGGTAACAAGTTAGCTGCGGAGCACTTTCCAGGTCTAGAGCCATTGGCTTTGCCTTAACCCAGTCCCTAACGACTCACTTAGTGAGTAGGTTGATCAGGCTGAGCACCAGGAGCTACCTAATTTCTTCGGTTCACTGAATGCCTTTAAAATCCCTGCATTCCAACAACTCCTACTGCGGAAGTGGTTAACACTGCGGGCTGAGTGGAATTTTTGTCGCGCCTTTTCCGCGCTCTCTTACGTCAGTCAGCACTGAGGAAGCATCTCCCTACTGTTGCTAGTGCATTTCAAAGAGCCACACAAATCTCCAATCTTTGGTTTGTTCTTACTGCCCACTTACAGTGAAGGTGGTCACCCCCAGCCTACGACCCTCACTTGTTACCAGCGGTTAGGTTTGTGAGTACCTAATGCCTGGCCTCGTTCCCTGAGCTTATGTTTTTGTACCTCCACAAGGTTGAAACATGTCTGATTCTAGACACTGGAGATAGTCTCACAGTTCCCAGTGCCCCCAGCTCACACACTACTAATGGTTTCACTGCTGCTTACAGTGTGCCCACTGATACAACTGATGTCTGCAGCCTGGAATGATGGCCTCTGTTCCTGCAGTCTACCTCTGGGGAGTCGCATTCTTCTACTCCTAAATTAAAAGAGACTCATTTGACTCTTATCGACATGGCGCACACCACTTTATAACTGGAGAATCAGCCTGAGAGTGGTGCTGTGAAGGTACCTACCCTGCCTAATTCCTAGTGTTGTGTCAAGATACAACACCGGCAATAGCAAGGAGGGTGCATTCTGCACAAAATGCCCCCTCCTGCTTCAAGACCAGTGGCACCTACAAAAACCACTGGCTTCTGCAAATGCAGGGGCAGCCATACGCAATGCTGTGGTCTTTCTCTGCATATGTGAAAGCTGGTGGGTCCCGCAGCAGGTAAAGGCTCCTGCCCAGACTAAAAAAATTTCCATTCGTGCCTACAGGCGCCCGAAATTTGTTTTTTCTTTGGTCATAAAACATTCGGAGCTACTAAAGCTACAGTTATGATGGGCTGCTGGAGGTTTCCCATCACGTTTACCGCATGGATCAGCTGTCATTGCACATGCAGAATGCACTTTGGCTAAAGTGATGGACTGCATCCCAGAGGCAAATGCTTTGCATGGCTTTCAAAGGACAACATCTCTTCAGATCTACCTTTTGGATGCCATTGTTAAGGACACCATTGATGGCAAGAACATCCATCTGCTTAGTCCAAAAAACCTACGGTGCAGTCTGGGAAGGCTTATTCCTTATTGTAGGTTAGGAAAAGTCCTTTTCATTACTCTACGTCTACAACCACCAATTCCAAACCCAAGACGGCCTTCCCAGCTTAATCGTAAGGCCTGGAACTCCAAGTCTGCCAAGCCCTCAGATGGATCTTCTGCAGCATAAAAGGTGAGCCCCCCTTTCCAAAGTTGGGGGACATCCGTTATCCTTTGCAGACACTTGGACAGCTTGCATCCAAGATTGGTTTCCAGTGGCTACCAGCACTCTGCTTAGTTCATCACTTCCTCTGTCATCACACAAACTGTGATGCTCTAGAGCTCCAGGTACCTCCTAGTGGGTCTTCTGGATCAGGGTATCATTGCCTAAATTCCTGTAGCAGAATAGTTTCAAGGTTTTACTCCAACCTGTTCCTGTTTCCAAAGCTAAGTGGGCTCCGGCCCCATGCTAGATTGCAAAGCACTAAATATCTTATTTCAAGCTCAGAAATTCAGCATGGAATAAAAATAAACCAGGTTTGCCATATCCTTCCTTTACCAGGGAGATGTGCTTACTTCTGTATACATCAATGACTTGTACCTACATATCCCAATATTCCCAGTACACCAGCAGTTCCCTACGCTTTGCTGTGGTCCCCTGCATTTTTAGTTTTTTGGCCTAGCTCTTTTCTGCCCCTTGGTTATACACCAAAGTAGTGCTGCGCTCTGGAGTCATCTCCATTGTACTAGGGTACAGTTCCTCTCTTTCCAGTTAAGGCTCATTCTACAAGAAGTGTTAGTGCTTCTTGGGCCAGCATTGGGTTTCAGTATCCTAAATCTGCAAGGCTGCCATCTGGTCCTCTGTTCATAATTTTGTTAGTGGATGTAAGTTTTAGCTGCAAGGTTCTTTAGGCTACCCTCTCAATTGTGGCCCCCTTGCGTTATTGTTGGATTTGTTTGTTTTCTCAATGCTGTGTTGCCTGCCCCTCTGTTGGACAGCTTTTGGATGTCCTGTTGGTTACAGAATTAATTCCCTGTGTTCTGTGATATACGATCGAGAAAACAGGATTTTTGTCATGCCTGTAAAATTAATTTCATGGAGTACATCATGAGACACGGGACCCTCACTTCTGTTTTTCTGTTATTCACTCTTGTCCTGTATGCTACAAAACTGAGGCAGGCTGAGAGTAGGAGGGGTTATACAGAGCTGTCCTTTCAGCTTTGAATTGACAATCACCTGAAGGTAGCTGCATAACCTTTTGGTTGTAGACAGACACACACACACTCCTTGTATCCTGTGATGTACTGCATGAAACAGATTTTACAGGTAAGACAAAAATCCTGTTTTATTGGACTGCACATATTAAATGACTGATAAGATTTGTCTGGTACCTGTTCTCCCTTTAAGAAAACCTGTCTGATCCATTGAAATAATGCTAGGAAAAACAGACAATAAACATTTGGTCTAAAATACTCAGGAAATTCCATATTTTTTTCCCTTGTGAATAAGTTGGAGGGAACCAGACTCACTGGAATTTAGCTTTAGGGCCCATTTACATATCTGGGCACGTTATGTTGCACGTCAATGTGTGCTGCATTAAGGCAGCCTATTGAAAATAATGAGCTGCCAATGTACCAAAATGTCTTGAAAATCGCACATATCTCAAAATTTGTAATGCAACAGACTGTGCTTTGAGGTGGCATTAAAAATGAATGGCAACGCATGTAACATATTGCCACATGTTACCTCAATGCAAAGATAACAAATGGGTTTATAAAGTCCATGCATTTTACCTGCATTGTAGAAATCTGGAAAATACCTGACAGCGCAGTTACTATACACAAATCCTCAATGTTACTTACAATCATTTTAGCTCTTTAACTCATTCTAAAGCTTTCATGGGTAGTCTTGTTAAGCAGTCTGAAAATATGTATGACCCAAAGAGTTCATCCCATGTTTTTATCCTGGCAGACAAGTAATTTTATTTATTTATTTATTTTTAACACCAGATCGACAAAAGATGGCATTCTCTTCGAGGAGCATGGGACAGTGAAGAGCATATTTTACAGGCTACATAAATACTGTGTTCTATGTTTTGGGACATCAAGAAAAAATTTCCAAGCTGGTCAGCAAGCCAAACTATGAAAAGGTAAATCACACACATGAACAAATATAAGTACCCTAAGTGCATAATTATCTAACTATCTAGCAGATGAATATCTAGTTGTATTGCAAAATAGACAAAATAAAAGTCTGCTTTAAAGCAATCCTGTTAACAACAGGTTAGTTTTAATCTAGTCAAACGTTTAACTTATCACCACTCTGCCACGGCCTCTGTTCATTTGACCAAAGGGACATCAGGTGTCTGCCCAAACAGTGCGCTGTTGCTCCAGTGTACTGATATCCCAGGAGCAAGAACAGCTGCATTCTGATAATGTCACTTTATTAAAACCAACTTTATTGATTCAGCCAGTGGCACAGAGTCCTGCCTCCGGTCCACCCCCTCTAATGTGTTTTAAACTTATGGGCTTAGTAGTAGAGATAGGGGTGGTCTTGCAGGAGAAATCATTTAGATCATAGCTTATAATTCACAATCATGGACAATGATGTGCCTTTATACAATATATCAAACAAAAACCTAGTAAAGTAAAGTTGCTACCATCAGAAGGAGGCCAGGTCAACCTGATCAAGATAATACCCCCATAATGCCTATATGTCCTGGCCCATATGCCAGGGGTCTGTCCCCAAATACTATAAGCATATGAATTCAGCTCAATCTTCCTTTATTTGGGCCAATACCAGGCATAAACCTAAATGATCAACCCTACAAAGGCCCAAGTCTGGAGACCAGTTTAGCGCTCCCAGATATATATCTATTTTACCTGGCAGACCAGTTATGACATTTGTTACCGTGGTTTTCCCCTATGGTTTCTGTCACAGCTAACACCTACCCAGCAGATGAGCTATAAATAGAGCAAATGTTCATATATTTAGGAGCTGTCTATACGATTTCCTCCCTCAGGTCAGATATACTGGAGGCTAGCTAAAACTATGTGGACAGAAGCTAGGAAGATAGATATTTCCTGGTCAGATACAGTATGAACAAATTATCTGGGATAACTATTATATCACACCTTACCCCCATTCCTGATCCTGCAGCATAGAAGGCCCAAGAAATAGTAGTGTTATCAAATCTATACTATATATTTGACAGCTACATTCATATGCTCATCTTCAGGCTTTCCCAACGGGATTTTGCTACAGAGACAGAAACTGTACCTACAACTGTGCCACATCTTAAGCACCAAAGTAGAGAATAATATCCTCAGATTTGTATTAATAGATCACAGGAGCCATAGTGTCTGATTTCCAATCTTTACTTGCATTTCTTACACAATAAACTGGGCTAAATGTCTCTACAAGTAAAGTCCAAATAGTAAGTACTAATGCCTTCCATTAGTGAGGAGGACTGGGATGTTCTCTGTTCTTCCCATCTTTATGTATCCCCTTATTGGTAGCCACACCAATATCGCCCATCCCCGCAATATGCCTGTTTGGTATCCACACCCCTTACTCTAGCTCAGTGCATAGCTGTGGTAAATAAAAAATCCTTTATAAAAAGGCGATATGATAACAGGAATTATTCAGATAAATTTCTAAAGATATGGAATGTGTGGAGCAAATCCCCCCTCACTTATAATTGTTCGGATCATTTTTGAATAAACATATACTTCCAACGCTGATTGCTGCCACTGATACTACTGAGGTGACAAGAGGCACAATTTAGTGTTGTTTTATACTTTAAATGTTTGACATACTTGTATTCGGAATAATATTGTACATGTAACCTGTATACATCTGATGCTCAATGAACAGAATTTTTTTTTAAAAAGCACAAATTTTAAACCTAAAACTCAATTATTTTTTTTCTAACTTTACTGCCTAATTTGTATTCTATTTACGGTAACTTGTTGTTTCAGGTGCTTTGGCAGCATACAACATGGGTCCAGGGAACGTCAATAGTTTTGATGCTGTCGACAGTCGTACAACTGGCAAGGACTACTCCAATGATATCGTTGCACGGGCAAAGTTTTACAACAAATTAAAATATAATCTCAATCTCCTCCATGCAGACCCAAACTGGAAAGGCTCCAACACTTAATAAAGGCATATAACATTTTAGGTGAAGGGACACTCCTCCCTGTAGACTTTTTGAGCCCGCATTACCTTTACTGCCAAGGATGGGAAAGACCCTCTCCAACGTCCCAACTAAAAACCTATCTCGCTGGTAAACACCAACCTGAAATTATTCACCAAAATCCTTGCAACATACCCTATGACACGCGCCCAAGCTTTGTGCTTACCAGGGAAGCACGCAACAACAGCATCATCAGACTACTAGATGTGATCTATGCCACCCTTTCTGAATCCAAAATGGCTTTTGACAAGGTAGACCAAACACTTATGGAACAGACACTGAAACACCTGGTTGAAATAATGATGATGTCATGGATAAAAGCTATCTACTCCAACCTCATAACTCAGGTTAAAATGAACAGTAATCTTTCCACACCACTTACACTTTTACTCTTACTCTAGAGTCCCTTTTTACACAAAATTAGAGCAAATTCATATCATGTCCCATGCTTGTTGCTGTGCTCCTGGTATAAGGTCTCAATTTTAATAAATCATCTACAAAATATTACCTTTTGTATCACTTGCCCCTCCTACTAGATTGTAAGCTCTCACGAGCAGGGCCCTACCAACCCTATTGTTCTGAAACTGTATTGTAATGTAAATTGTATTGTAACTGTACTGTCTCCACTATTTTGTAAAGCGCTGAGCAAATTGTTGGCGCTATATAAATCCTGTATAATAATAATAATAATACAAAACAAATTGCCTCACTGGATCAATCATGTGTAGTTTTAAAATCTCTCATGCTTATTTAACAAGAAGAAAAAAATAAACTTCCTGCTAATGTGTTTAAGCTAGTCTGAGTCTTAATAGTAGGAGAACCATGACGAAAGCCCAGACCATCTAAACTGCAGCAGTAGAAATGTATTTACTCTTTCATATATTATATATGGTGCAGCGGACATTGGCACAGAGGAACACCAGATGCGCTGTCTTGCAATTTTGCTCACTGTAGCATTACTCAATCAGAATTCAGCATTAATATCCTTTGTATGAATACATTCACAAGCAGACACAGACACTTTTAGAAACCTTGTTCTTCCATATTTGTGACCCTGTATTAAATATAGAGTTTTTTAGATTAGGTACTAGATGGTGCTGTAGTTGCAATTTCTCTGTTGAGATAACGTCTCAGCCACATAAGGAGTGTATTGTTTTCCAGCACTCAGATGACTCATCGGCTTGCATTGTGAAAAGGGGCAGTAAAGCAGAACCATTGTGTAGCACTGCAAAGCATGAGGCACAGCCTGCCCTTGTAATGAGTAAATATGGCTGCCCAATGTAAGAACTATACACAGAAAAGAATTTTAAAACATTAACACATACTGATCAGATTGCTCAGCTCAAACTGATCTCTTTTACATCCAAGTCTAAAAAACACTATACATTCTCAATAACAAATGTTTTGTTCATTTATCTATGGGTGTCTGTATACATTTTCAAAGCTGCACCTCAAAATTGTGGTCAAAATCTTAACATTTTCTGCGGTATAAAAACAATCCACTAAGCTCTTTTAATGACAATGTTTTACCTTCCTTTATAAAGGTATACCTGCATCTGAAGCATTGGCAGCAACAGATCTGCAAAGGGTGATGAAGTACAAGGAGAAGATTCAATCTGTGGCTGGGAAAACTGGTGTGGACTCAGCTATCATTGGAGGGATCATGTCTCGTGAATAACGTGCTGGGAATGTTTTAGATGCCAATCAATGGGGAGATCATGGCAATGCTTTTGGGTTGATGCAGGTAATTAAAGATCTCCACAAATAGAGTAAAATGAATAAGTGGCCCACCGGAATTTCCGAAAAAATAACATTTATTGTAATAAAGCAAATTTCTCATGCTATTGGGGGTCACAGGAAGTGTGAAACATTTGGGTTTACTGACACATACAGAGGATTGGCTGCTGCAAACAAAAAAATGATAGGCCGGCCAAAAATAACCCCTCCATGTTTCAGTTTTTTGCTAGTCTCCTAGGAAGATGGACATCTTTTCTTTAGCTCTGCTGTAAAACAACTAACCAGTTTTTTTGCTAACATTTTCCTTCACTTTTTCTTTTTATTCATTCAAGACTCTCAACATCACTGTTAGAGCTGGTCTCTACTTTGCAGCTTTCTGGCATGGTCTATCCTCGGCTTGGACTTTGGAGCTCTGAGACCTAACCCTTCTGAACTAAACAAGTGGGGCAAGCATGGAAGTGACGTTTAGGCACTGCGTTCCACATAAGCTGCTTTCCAGATACTATCCTGGTAACAAGTTAGCTGCGGAGCACTTTCCAGGTCTAGAGCCATTGGCTTTGCCTTAACCCAGTCCCTAACGACTCACTTAGTGAGTAGGTTGATCAGGCTGAGCACCAGGAGCTACCTAATTTCTTCGGTTCACTGAATGCCTTTAAAATCCCTGCATTCCAACAACTCCTACTGCGGAAGTGGTTAACACTGCGGGCTGAGTGGAATTTTTGTCGCGCCTTTTCCGCGCTCTCTTACGTCAGTCAGCACTGAGGAAGCATCTCCCTACTGTTGCTAGTGCATTTCAAAGAGCCACACAAATCTCCAATCTTTGGTTTGTTCCTACTGCCCACTTACAGTGAACGTGGTCACCCCCAGCCTACGACCCTCACTTGTTACCAGCGGTTAGGTTTGTGAGTACCTAATGCCTGGCCTCGTTCCCTGAGCTTATGTTTTTGTACCTCCACAAGGTTGAAACATGTCTGATTCTAGACACTGGAGATAGTCTCACAGTTCCCAGTGCCCCCAGCTCACACACTACTAATGGTTTCAGAGCTGCTTACAGTGTGCTCACTGATACAACTGATGTCTGCAGCCTGGAATGATGGCCTCTGTTCCTGCAGTCTACCTCTGGGGAGTCGCATTCTTCTACTCCTAAATTAAAAGAGACTCATTTGACTCTTATCGACATGGCGCACACCACTTTATAACTGGAGAATCAGCCTGAGAGTGGTGCTGTGAAGGTACCTACCCTGCCTAATTCCTAGTGTTGTGTCAAGATACAACACCGGCAATAGCAAGGAGGGTGCATTCTGCACAAAATGCCCCCTCCTGCTTCAAGACCAGTGGCACCTACAAAAACCACTGGCTTCTGCAAATGCAGGGGCAGCCATACGCAATGCTGTGGTCTTTCTCTGCATATGTGAAAGCTGGTGGGTCCCGCAGCAGGTAAAGGCTCCTGCCCAGACTAAAAAAATTTCCATTCGTGCCTACAGGCGCCCGAAATTTGTTTTTTCTTTGGTCATAAAACATTCGGAGCTACTAAAGCTACAGTTATGATGGGCTGCTGGAGGTTTCCCATCACGTTTACCGCATGGATCAGCTGTCATTGCACATGCAGAATGCACTTTGGCTAAAGTGATGGACTGCATCCCAGAGGCAAATGCTTTGCATGGCTTTCAAAGGACAACATCTCTTCAGATCTACCTTTTGGATGCCATTGTTAAGGACACCATTGATGGCAAGAACATCCATCTGCTTAGTCCAAAAAACCTACGGTGCAGTCTGGGAAGGCTTATTCCTTATTGTAGGTTAGGAAAAGTCCTTTTCATTACTCTACGTCTACAACCACCAATTCCAAACCCAAGACGGCCTTCCCAGCTTAATCGTAAGGCCTGGAACTCCAAGTCTGCCAAGCCCTCAGATGGATCTTCTGCAGCATAAAAGGTGAGCCCCCCTTTCCAAAGTTGGGGGACATCCGTTATCCTTTGCAGACACTTGGACAGCTTGCATCCAAGATTGGTTTCCAGTGGCTACCAGCACTCTGCTTAGTTCATCACTTCCTCTGTCATCACACAAACTGTGATGCTCTAGAGCTCCAGGTACCTCCTAGTGGGTCTTCTGGATCAGGGTATCATTGCCTAAATTCCTGTAGCAGAATAGTTTCAAGGTTTTACTCCAACCTGTTCCTGTTTCCAAAGCTAAGTGGGCTCCGGCCCCATGCTAGATTGCAAAGCACTAAATATCTTATTTCAAGCTCAGAAATTCAGCATGGAATAAAAATAAACCAGGTTTGCCATATCCTTCCTTTACCAGGGAGATGTGCTTACTTCTGTATACATCAATGACTTGTACCTACATATCCCAATATTCCCAGTACACCAGCAGTTCCCTACGCTTTGCTGTGGTCCCCTGCATTTTTAGTTTTTTGGCCTAGCTCTTTTCTGCCCCTTGGTTATACACCAAAGTAGTGCTGCGCTCTGGAGTCATCTCCATTGTACTAGGGTACAGTTCCTCTCTTTCCAGTTAAGGCTCATTCTACAAGAAGTGTTAGTGCTTCTTGGGCCAGCATTGGGTTTCAGTATCCTAAATCTGCAAGGCTGCCATCTGGTCCTCTGTTCATAATTTTGTTAGTGGATGTAAGTTTTAGCTGCAAGGTTCTTTAGGCTACCCTCTCAATTGTGGCCCCCTTGCGTTATTGTTGGATTTGTTTGTTTTCTCAATGCTGTGTTGCCTGCCCCTCTGTTGGACAGCTTTTGGATGTCCTGTTGGTTACAGAATTAATTCCCTGTGTTCTGTGATATACGATCGAGAAAACAGGATTTTTGTCATGCCTGTAAAATTAATTTCATGGAGTACATCATGAGACACGGGACCCTCACTTCTGTTTTTCTGTTATTCACTCTTGTCCTGTATGCTACAAAACTGAGGCAGGCTGAGAGTAGGAGGGGTTATACAGAGCTGTCCTTTCAGCTTTGAATTGACAATCACCTGAAGGTAGCTGCATAACCTTTTGGTTGTAGACAGACACACACACACTCCTTGTATCCTGTGATGTACTGCATGAAACAGATTTTACAGGTAAGACAAAAATCCTGTTTTATTGGACTGCACATATTAAATGACTGATAAGATTTGTCTGGTACCTGTTCTCCCTTTAAGAAAACCTGTCTGATCCATTGAAATAATGCTAGGAAAAACAGACAATAAACATTTGGTCTAAAATACTCAGGAAATTC